CAGCGTTTGTATATCTTTCTCCATCAGCCTCAGGGAATCTCTCTTGCTTTCTCATAAGCCCAAGCATACATTAAAATGGTCCTTTAAAAGTATTTTATTCTAACTCTACACATTTTGTTATAGGATGGCTTTAAGACAGGTTTTTTATTACGTGATGAAAATGGGTATCCTCCAAGCCCAATTCTAGTGTTATCAGTGTATTACCAACATGCTCTTGAATTATTACAATGAAGAATATTGACATAATTAAGGTAACGAAGTAAAACCTCTGTTTTTATCTATGTAATGTATTTCTAACTGAGGACAACTAAACAAAATTAGTACATCACTGATGGAATTAATGAAGTTATTTTGTTTTAGTATGAAGTTTTTGTTAGACAATATATATTACTTACAAACCATAGTTGTAAGGCATAAAGTTTTTGAAAGATACCTGTGTATCTTTCAACTGATTGTGAAGGTGGATCAGAGGAAGTTAGATGACAATGGATTTGAGAGTCATCCTTAGTAAGGACTGAAAAAAGTTATGATTTCATTGTTTCCAGCATTTAAATATTTTTATTGTGACTAAGAATCAGTTCTACTAGCAATATATCTAAATACCAATGGCTACTGATACTTGGCTCATCATTGCTAATGCAAGAAATAAGGATGAGAAAATCAATGAGGAGTGACCCATATCTTGTATGTATACAGTCTGTTAAAAGAGAGAGACTACAACATGGGCAGATCGACAGCATCACAGGTGCACTTTACAAAGTCTGAGAAGAAATGATTTGCTCTAATAGAGGAAATATGAGGACACTTCCTAATAGATGGTTATTAAGAGATAAGCAAAAGTTTGCCACAGGGAAAAGATAGACATTTCAGACAACAGCAAGAGCATGTGCAAAGACAGAGAGATGTCAAAATGTAAATTGAGGATGATGTGTTTCCGTGGAGAGGGGTGTGCACTGTGGTGTGGTGGCCAGTGATGATAGAAGTGAGGTATGTGAAGGTCAAACTTTGTAGGTTTCTTTTTTTTAAAATTCCGTGGAGAGGGGTGTGCACTGTGGTGTGGTGGCCAGTGATGATAGAAGTGAGGTATGTGAAGGTCAAACTTTGTAGGTTTCTTTTTTTTAAAATTCCATTATAATTCTCAGAGTTGAGTGCTGTCAGGTTTTGAAGGTTTCAGATGTGTATACATCAGTATGTCAGTTGGCAGAATTTTAGAGAATGGAGATTCTAGACAGAAGATGAGAGGGGAAAAACTGCTGGCAAAAAGACCCTTAGGAATCAGACACAACAAAAGTTACATGCATCAAGTCATTAATTCTTTTCTCTTTGAAAAAAGTAAAATATTCTAGATTAATACATAAAATGTGTATCATTTTCTTTTATAATTGAAAATTGTACTGTGGGGATTATAAAGCCTAAGCCCAAATTCTTGACATCTTGTCGCAAATATGAATTTTATTTTTTATTTTAATGTTTTTGCAAATGTTAACTATCAGTAAAGAAACAAATAGACTTTTGGTATGAAGCAATCAAATGAATAATGATTCCTTTGTTTTAATTTCTCCTGTTATGTAACAAATGTTGGTTTAGAAATGTTTAACAACATAAAGAGGAATAATATTTATGTTATTGATTATAAAGCATCCTTTACTTTTGTGGTATAAAAAGTCTTGGAGGATATGAAGACTTTTTTTTTCTTAATTGGTTTACAGTCCAGGTCAAATGTTGTCCTTATCTACTTATAGATAACATATAGTAATGTTTTAAAAGGTTATGTTGACAATATGCATTTTCTTATTGTTGCTAATATAGAGGAAACTACTGACTTAATAAGCAATTAGGTAGTTGAACATAGAATTTTAGAATCAAAGCCCACTAGAGACAATATCTCTAGTCCAGTCTCCCTGACCATTAGGGGAATCTGAAGGGCCAGAATTTAATTTGCTTGAATAACATTGGTTAAAAAGTCCCTTACTTCAGTACATTTTATATTTTGTATTTCTAAAAGAAAATGGTTAGCAAGACCTTTCTTTATGATTATTACTGATAGTTTGAAATGCACAGGACTCACTGCCATATTATTTTCTTAGGTCCTAATTGTTTGAAAATTAGTCAGATGTATAAATAGTATGTAGAGATTTTCTTTTTGTTACATTACTTGAAGAATAGAATATACATTTTCCTTCCATATGAGTGGTTTTTTTCTACTGAAAGGCAACTATTTTGTATCACTTGTTGGTAAATTTGTTTCCTTAATTTAATGGTATTGTTATATTGATGTTCACCTAGATTAATTCCACTGTTTTTTAAAATAATCTATTGTGACGTTTAGTAATGAAAAGGTATTTCTTGTGAAAGTAGTTATTTAAAAACCTACATAATGATATTAGAAACTACATTCTGAATAGTATTTTCAGGATATGCTTTGTCTAGTGTACTTTTTTCAGAAGTATTTCTTTTTTTGTGACTAAAAACTTCTGTTTTGGAAGGTGATTATTTAGATGTAATGCATATAAGTTCTAGATTGCTTGGCTAGTGATTATATAATAGAATACATACAAAATCTACTGAAAAGTAATATTTCTCTGTGATGTTGGTGAGATCTGAAAATTGACTTAAGCAGAAAAGCCATTTAAGTCTTATTAGTGACCTTATGTTAGGATAATAACTAAATGCTTTTTAGGTCCAATTCATCTTCAAAAAATATGCATTACAACTGGAATTTTTTACTGAGATTAAGCATTTGATTTTGATCTGGCATAAACCCAAGGAACCCTGAATGAAAGAATGAAGATACATTCTCAGTCATTGCATCACTAATGCCTTAAGTATAGCTAGTTCATAAAATGTATGTAAGTGACCAAGTAGGTAACATTCATTAGCTACCAAGAAATTTGAAGAGGGTACTAATTATACAGAGAGGAACTGAGATTAAATGCTTACAGCCATGGGAGTACACTGGAATTGGCAACCATTGTAGACAACTACTATTTTTGTTATTGAAGCTGCAAGTTGGAACACATGTGCTTGATCCTTTGCATACACGAAAGTTCACAGAACTGAAATGGTTTTTACTCAGTGCATTAGGTTATTCCTTGCCCTCATGTCTCATCTGGACCAGGCTGTGACTGTCAGTGATCCCAACCTGGACCCAGTCATGAACCCTGACATCCGTGCGGGCTTTTCCTGAGGTCCTGCTTCTGGCTAGACCAACCTGGGAGCCTGAGGAGGGAAGGTAGGGAAGGCTGGGGCCCTGCTTCTCTGTTCTCTCTGCAAAGGAGAATCCGCCAAGAGAGGTTGCAGGCTGGGCCTGAGGTCCCTGTAGGTCAAGCATTTGTCCTGACCAGCATCCGATGGGCCTCCAGCCTCACACCAACCACACCCTATGATGGAGCTGACAGGTGGAAATAAAAACAGACTTATTAAAAAAATTAAAACAAAAAACCAATGCACTAGGTTATTATGAAAGTTATGTGAACTTTTATGTATACAAATGTTAATTCAAGTACTGCTTTTTACCAATTATATATACGTTAGCCTTCTAACACTTATAATAAAAAAACAGAGGCCAAAATTAAATACAATAAAAAATGAAATATTTATTCTTTTGGCTCAATAATGACGTAGCTCACCATTCCTTTTAAGTAATAGCAATTCCCTGCATGCAGTTCATCAATACACTACAAGTAAATAGTTTCATAAAAGGAATTAACATTAAACTTTTGGTTTGTGCAAAAAACAAAAAATTTATATCATGTTAGATAATTGCACAACTTTGCCACTTTGTTCATGGCTAAACAGGACAGAGCCCATGTTATATCTCTAATAGCTTTAGTGCAGCAGGAATTAAAAAAATAAGACTAGTCTGCATAAGCAAATACTACAAAAGTTGAGTAAAAAAAAACTTTCCATGGATAAAGGGTTAGATTGAGGCAAATGTTGTTGGTAGAAAATGATCTAGGCTTGAGTTTTTGACCAATGTATCTCCTATTGGAATGGTAGAAAATATATATATAACAAAGAAATTCACAAAACCCATTGTCTAACTTTTATTTTAGGAAATTATCCATTGAAAAGTCTTATGGATTCAAAAGTTTGGAGTTGTGATTAAAAATAAAAAGCAAAAGCATAAAGTAAAATAAATTGCCATGTCATCAACCTGAAAATAATCATCTTATGTACAAAATGCGACAAATAAAATTGATCATATCTTTACATTATTTATATTTGAACAAGTTTTGGACATATTTTTAGCAAAATATGAAGTCTAGGTTTTGACAGTATGCACTGTGCAGGGTGTTTCCTTGAATTCTAGAGAGACACCATATGACACTCAAACTGAATTAAAAATGCAAAAGTAAAAGGTGCTTTTAAATCAATGCAAGCTATTCTGCTTGACATAACAGACAAAAAGCTGGTTGAATTCACTCTACCACCAAATTGTGATTTTTAACCAAGACTTGTGAAGAATGGATTGAGTAAAATAGAGCAGCATAGGCAATATTAACATGCAGTAGTGGTAGTCTTCAAACTATTTATGTATAATGATGGTACAGGATCGATACATCCATGTTGGAAGCTCGCAAAAGACACATATGCCGTGGTACATATTTAATTTAATAGAAGTTGTTTATCAGGATATCTACATATCTATATACCCATAGGGGTGTATATAGATACATACATATACCCAAACATGCACCACAGGGTAAAATAACTATTTACATAACAGAGGGTGTTATATTGACATAAAATGTCAGCTTTACTGAGGGCAGAAGATGGCAAAGCAATACTGCAGCAGAAAGTGGGATGACTATTCTAAAGTGATACTCTTGATATACTTTTCTTGAACAGATTTATTAGATTACTTTTTTGAAAAGCATTTAACCAAAATTAAATATAGAACTCTGGAACTTAGAATAAAATTTGCACTTGCTGAAACAATACTTTGCATAAAAATAATCCTTTAAAAAGTAGAGGAGATTTTACAGGCACATAACTGTTTAGATATAAACAAATATAACAGACTAAAACACTTTCAAAATTAAAGCCATCTAGAAAATGGAAGTACCTGAAATTGTTGACATTGTAATTTTTTTTTTCTGGTTTTAAGTAAGAATTTCATCTCTCAGGGAAAATGCTTTAGTCTGATTACTTGAGAGACTTGTGGAGTAGGAATACAGGGCTTATATACTTTTTTTTTTTCAACTTAAACCTCATTTACAAAAATAGTGACATAGTATTATGAATAAACTATGAATTGGGTGCTAGGAATATCTACTAGAACAAATCTTGTAAAAATATGGTAAATATGGAAGTTAAAAATAGAGTGGATGCAAAGTACTGTACTAAAGGTGTTTGGTGTAGTTACAATGATCACTTTGCACAACTATCCCTACAGTCTAGGTAGCCATTGAGTTTCTCCTCAGCAGTGTCAGCTGGTAGTAAAAACAGTAACCTCTTGTCAATATGGATACCCTGACTCACAGAGATGGAGTGACGGAGAGGTCCCTGTCTTGTTATAGGCACTGACCATGAATATGTGTTAAAACAGTCAGTTTGGCATAGACCTCCTCTGGGAGTCCAGTTGACACATAAGTTTTACCTTCATAGGCTGTAAACAATTGACCACAAAGATAATTTACTTTTGATTTTCCCTGCCCTCTCTCCCTTTGCTTTCTTTTTCGGGTTTGTCTTTCTCAAACTTTTCTTTGTCTGGCTTTGTTACACTATCATAGGAAGGAGGAGAGGTGGTAGAGGAACTTCCATCTGTTTTTTCTGGGGTGGAGTTCCCATTTAATTTGTCAATAATCATGTCTTCTTTTATAGGTAAGTCAATCCTCCCTTTAATTGCCTCTTTGTTATATTGACATGATACCTTTTTTAACCTTTGCCTTAAAAGGTAACATCTGAAATTACGCTGAATGATAGCAGCAGATACCTCCTCTTGTTTGCGTTTCAAAGTGGTGGTAATGGGCTCATAGGAGACTTTGGAGGGGTTTGAGGCCATGAACCGGTCTTCCATCTGTATTCGGAGGGCATCCATCTCTCCACTCTCTCCTAAAACCCGCTTTGTAAAGGCAAATAAGATGTCCAGGCAGTGGATCCTGTCTCCACTGACCATGGGCAGATCCATGGCGATGAGCTGGACTTTGTTTGGTTTTGCTATGAGAAGAGGAGGATCCAGAGCAGCTGCAAAATCAGACAGCTTGGAGAACTCTATAAACTGGGTGGCATCCGGGTCAAACTTCTCCCAAACCTCATAGAACATCTCAAAGTCGTCCTCACTCAGGGGCTCTGCACTTTCTTCAGTAGCAACACTGAAGTTCTCCAGGATGACAGCGATGTACATGTTCACCACGACCAGAAACGATATGATGATGTAACTGACAAAAAAGAAAATCCCGACAGATGGGTTCCCGCAGTCTCCCTTTACTGAGCTCCCAGGGTGAATTGCGTCAGGGTCACAGTCGGGTGGCGCACTATTGAGAATAGGTGCCAGCAACCCATCCCAGCCAGCAGATGTGGTTATCTGGAACAGACAGATCATGCTGTTGCCAAATGTTTCAAAGTTGAACATGTCATCAATTCCAGCTTCCTTTTTAACATAGGCAAAGTTGGACATGCCAAAGATGGCGTAGATGAACATGACCAGGAAGAGCAGGAGGCCGATGTTAAACAACGCAGGCAGGGACATCATCAGCGCAAAGAGCAGCGTGCGAATCCCCTTGGCCCCTTTGATGAGACGCAAGATTCTGCCAATCCTGGCGAGACGGATCACTCGGAACAAGGTAGGAGACACAAAATACTTTTCTATCAGCTCAGCTAGAAACATACCTGTGGAAAAATACAGAAAACAGTATCTTATGCTTATATGAACCTTTTATCTTTTCAAGGTCTATAAAAACCACATGTGTGTTAGCAGTCTAAACCTTTACTAAAAACTTGGATCCAATCACAATTAGCAGCAATTAAAAATGACAGTTTTATTCAGTAATTCCAGAGTGTCATAAAGCAATATGAACTTTTGCAAAATCCAACAAATTAAATAATCAAAATCCAACAAATTAAATTTGAAATCTCAAATACATTTACTGTTTTTGGGCAACAGTCCTTAGAGGAAAATGAACAGTAGTGCTATATTTTAGTGTTATACACATTCGGAATCTAAAATCTGACTTCCCTTATACAGCTGTCTAGCTTTAAGCTTTCTCTACAACTTCACTTATTTGTAGTTAAACCATTCTTACCTACAATGGAGAGAATCACCACCACAAAATCAAAAATGTTCCAGCCTATGGTGAAGTAGTAGTATCTGAGGGAGATTAGCTTGAGCACAAATTCTCCAGTGAACAGGACAATGAACACAAGGTTGATCCGGGACAAAACTAGAGTCATATATTTACTCTGGTCATCAGTCTCCACCATCATGGTGACCATGTTCAGGCAGATGAGGATCATGATGCTGATATCAAAGACTTGTCTGGTTACAAAGTCAAAGACCATGCCTTGGAATTTGTTCTAGAAAGAGTGAGAAGAGACAAGGGTAAAATGCATGTCAGTGTGGTTTTTTTTTTTTTATTGATAATGATTCAGTGAAATTATAGATGAGTCCTTTTGCATAAGGTCATCAGCTGTGAGCCCTGCTCATATTTCCTACAGTTCTCTTTGCTCCATGTTAAAAAAGAAGCAAGAATGAAAGAAAAAAAAATTCTATGACAACAAAAAAAATGTGTATTTGGTTTACTTAGGTCTCACTGGAAGACAAAGCTGAGTGAGACATAAATTGATGGTAAATGACGAATGATTTTTATGTATTTTGCTGATTTTAGTAACTACATTTATAAAACACAATGAAAGTATCAATGTAGATTTCCTAGGTGAACATTTAGCACTTTTAGATGGATGAAGACCTGAATTCATTTATTGATACTTTAAGAATTTCGGTGTCTATCTTATTTCTATCTCTCCTCTTTTAATATATGTTGCTCATTTCCTATTTAATTCTGACTATATGTTTGTCTATTAATTTATTTATCTCTCTTTTCATTTGTTCCTTTTTACCTGTGCTTTGACAAAGATGTATGACTTGTATTTCTTTTAATTTGCCTTATTAACAATCATCTCAGGAGCAACATGTTTTTAAAGATTCCTATACTTAGATATGTCCAATAAATAACCGTTTTGTTAGCAAAGGACTTTTTAAATATTTTTAATAAAATTATATCTTGTGGTTATTAAAATAGAGAAAACAACATACGAGGTATAGGGATGGGGTGGGGAGGGAAGTGTGTAAAACTCCATCTATTTAAAAGGAGAAGAGGTTGTACAAGGTCAGAGGAACCTGTTGGGTGTATTTTTGGCAGGCGAGTGGCAGCAGGAGCAGAAGCCAACTTTATCTAATGTGATTGGGAGTTTTGTTACTGTTTTTGCCTGAAAAACTCTAAAAACACTGCTTTTTAAACAATTCAGTAATTGTTACTGAATGTGGTTGTGAATTGTGTCACACAGTATGAATTTTACTTTTAGAGCATATCATATGGTGGATATGTTGCCTGGTTCAGAGCAATGCCCAAGTTCATTATAGGCAGCCAAGGTTTTGGAATACTGAAGAAAATGAGTAATTCTTACTGCTGGCCGAGGTATAGGTTTCTGGGGTTTTTTGGACCCAAGTTTTTTCATTGCATTGTAGTATTTTTTCTGTTCCTCTGTCATAAAGATGTCTTGACCTCCAAAGTAAAGACAAAGAATAACACTGGTTACAATCTAAACATGTATTATAACAGTACATTTGTACAAAAACATTTAAGTCTTTCTTTTAATATTTTCTCATTTTTAAATGGATATTGTCTTGTTTCATATAGATATATTCTAGTTTTCCCATTTATGTGAAATTCTGAGTACCTTAATAGTATGTAAATCCTATAACCATATACAACTCTTCTTAGTAAGAAACTTAATTTGATTATATGATCGTTTGAAGAAGGTTCAAGGATTTCAAATATATATTTTTGAAAGCAAAAATGGTCTCTCAGTCCATTTCAATGATGACAAATTTATTCTTTATTAGGCCATTTTTGAGCACTTCTTGTGTGCTAGATAGTGTGTTTGTTTCAGAATTACATAAATAAAGGATACAGTATCTTGTTCCAAAGCATGACTACAATTTTTTTTTTTTAAATAGTGAAGGATAGGGATATATACAAAACAAACCAAAAAAGCGCCTCGGAGCTAACAGTAAACTCCAAGGCTCAGAAACAGACTTTACAGGGGAATAACCTGAAATTAGACCTGAAACCACGATTAAGGGATTGCTAATAAAAGCATTGCTGGAAGAGAAAATATACTAATGGAAGTCATAGAAGTGTAAGAGTATGACTTGTCTGGGAAGCATAGAAAATCCATGTAGTTGAGTGTGTAGCCAGTGAGAGTGTTGATGGGGGTGGGTGGGAAAGAGATATAGAAAATGTGATGTGGGAGAAGATGAAGCTGGAAGCTGGTGGCAGTTATCCCTGAAGTGCTGTGTAAGCTCAGGTAAAGCATTGGCAGCCTTCTGGATATTTTTGAGCAGTTGTAATTTTGGGGGGGGGGTAAAAAAGACATAAAAGCAGTCTGCAGAGAATAATCCTGGACAGGAGATAAATATGAACTGGAGCTGAAATCCTCTGCAGTTGAAGCATATGTACAGTCCTCCATGACTACGAGTGCCTTCGTTATTTGAATGTATTAATAGACACAACACAGAATGGAGAAAGGTGAGAGCTGAGAAATACTTATCTTCTTTTTCTGTTGGTTGAAGTTATCTATGATGACACCAATGAATAGATTCAGAGTGAAGAATGACCCAAAGATGATAAAGATGACAAAGTATAAATACATATACAGATTTTCTTCATATACAGGCTGAAGTTTAACCTAAATAATATTGAAAATATTAAATCATTTAAACACACAAGAAACACTTAAATTAAATTACTGATTTGCACATTGTTATTTAATATAAAGCTGCAGTAGCCTAGCCCTGAGATACTGTTCTGCAAAATAATTGTCTCCTTTAAAATTGGTATAATTGCATACAATATAGGTCAGCAGTTTGAATGTGTTTTTTTTTATTGTGTCTTATCTCATATATTCTCTTGAGTTAATAGCAATGAGTTAAGAAGGCAAATATTTTGACCTATTGTTGTTAGTCTTATAATTTTGGGGGGCTATATTATCAATTTAGATTTGGCTCTCGGTGATCTGACTTTAATAACAGAATATCAACTTCTACCAAAACATCAGCATAAATAGACATATTCAGAGGAATTATTTTATCCCTGTCTTCAAAATTGAGTTTCTCCTAAACTTTCTTGCCTTTATCATTTATTTTTAGATGCTGCTTCACAGACTCTGGTTTATCATACCTCTAGGGATAGGAAATCATTTCCCAACTTTATTCCAAATTTCTCAATCTCCTAAGTCACATATTCTAGGCCATTCTGGTATTTTTTAATCTATGTAGTTAGATACTTTTTCACATTAGATATGTTTTTTGCATTAGAACAAAATATTCTATATATGTATACTTATTGTATTAAGAAGATCATTTCTATATGCAAAATGCTTTGATTACATCTAACAAAATTTTGGATGATTCAGTTAGTTTATCAAAATTTCACTATGTAAAATCTAGTGATGCTATGTATAGACTGAATGATACTTACATCTCGTGAATCAACAGCTGCATACATAATATCCATCCAACCTTTAAATGTGGCCTGTAAGCAACATACATGAATTTTGTATAAAAACCTAATCCCAAAATATTCTATTTTACCATTTGAAAATCTGATGGTGTGATTAAAGACAAGTTTTTGTACAAAAGATTGACATGAATGAAGAAATGAAATGGAAATACTGTAAGATTTAATTTAGAATTTGGAACTCATTTTCTTTATTTCTCTTAAATAGTACTCTGTTATTTTCTACATTAAATTTAGCTGGAGGTTTGACTCATCACACTATTATCTCAGCCTCAGTTCCCTTTTAAATCAATAGTAGGGTCTATGATTCAAATCTCCAGCATGTTTAAACATAACTCAATGACTTTTATTTATTAATTATTGATTTTTCAGTATGCTGTCAATTAAGTTGCATTTTTTAGACACTGTCCATTTTTCAATCAACTCCATTAGATGTTTGTATTTTCACACACAGTAGAACCATACTACTTAGCTATTAGTACAATAGATGGTATGGCTAGTGCAATAAATGATATGGTTAATGATTAACAACATTTAATTCATCAATATAATAGAAAAATTATCATTTCTGTAGATAAATTTTGTCTGTTGTCAATGATGGCTTCAGAAAACTAAAAATGCTATTGGTGCAATAGTAGTCAATAATATAACAAGAAAACACAACTATAGAACGTATAAAATCACTTTAAAACATACTAAAAGCTGAGAAAAAGCTGAGAAAATATAAAATAACTGTATAGCATTTCTCTGGTCAAGCCAAACCTTCTTTACAATAAAGTGAAGCTAAAAGTACAGGTGTTACAATCAAGAACTTTTCTGTCAAGTACTAATCACTCAAAGAAGAGTGTCAGAGAAGTAATCTCACTTGAAACATTTTGAAAGTCTTTCCAAAACTCACATTTGCCACTTACCACTTGAAGCAATGCCAGGTAGCCAGCACCGACATTATCAAAGTTTACTTTGACATTTTTCCACCGAGCTTGCCTGCCAAGAGCCTGACAATCGCTGAAATTGTTGACTTCACTAACTTCAAACATGTTACCGGTTGTTGTGTTAACACAGTGATAGAACTTGCCAGCAAACAGATTCACACCCATGATGCTAAAGATCAACCAGAAGATGAGACAAACCAACAGTACATTCATGATGGAGGGAATCGCTCCTACCAGAGCATTCACAACCACCTAGGAGAAAATGAGGATAAAGCAATATACAAATAGTTAAAATGGAAACCATTCTTTTCATTTATTCTTTACTACTGAAATGGGTGTGGAAAGAGTTAAATAAAAATTTAGGTGTTTAGCCGTTTCTTCTGGTGTATTTTTGGACATATTTGATCAGGGAAAATAAACAGTGACACAAATAAAGAGCTAAAGGATTTGAAGAAAGCAAAATATGTCAATGCATGAAAAGAAATAAAAGTCTGATACAGTAAAAAATGCTCATATGCTGGGGGAGATTACAGATGTATTAAGTACACACAGAAGGAATAATTATCATTCAAACTATTTTAATTTCAAGAGTGTTAATGAATGCTAACTTGAAGAAGTAGTCAAAAATCCTTTACAAATAGACATAGTATGCCTTAAAATTAAGCTAACATTTTATGATTATGAAGAATAACATGGAATTTCAAGTTTCTTTTTCTTTTTTATTGGTAAAAGTCAAAGAAAAATATATTAAACAAGGAAATGAGATCGAATTTGCCTCTGGACAAAAACAATGCTAAAATGTGTTCCCGTTATTATTAAAGATTTCTTAAATGTTCACTTTGGAGCACATACTAGAACCCCAATATAACCATTCAACCAATTGTGGGCTAAAGTAATGTCAGGAGTGGTAAAGATTGGTGTGAAAAGAACTTAAAATTGTACAATCATCTTTAAACATCTTGCCTTGTGGCTTTATTTATCCAGTAATGAAATAAAATCAAGCGTTTCTTTGCTTACAATGTTTCTGGAAAGTCTGGAGAATAGCTTAATTCTCCTTGGTGAGTAAATCTGGAGTCAAGGCTGAAGTATTTATATTGCCCCAAACAAACCACCTCCTAACATAAAAACTCTATGGTCTAGAAGAAATTCAATATCCATGTGCATTTGTAAGCTGGCTTAAACAAAGCTAGCCTTTGTGCTAAACAGTATTTTGAGAGGCATGGCAAGTGGGTGTGTATCTATCTAAGTGTGTACTTTATGTTTAGATGCATAAAATATACACCAAGGAAGAGCACTAGAGAGGAAAACAAAGTGCCATGGAAAAAATAAACCTCATTCAGAATTCTCGCTTAAGAGGAAGCACTATAAAACAAGCCCCGGGAGTTGCCTAAAATGCTTAGTTAATTATTTTAACCCCCTGCTTTGTTTGTTTAGGACCTATAGGTTTTGTCAGAGGCTACTATTTAGTGTGTTTTTTTTTGTTTTATTATTGATATTAACTGAAAAATAAAACACACAAAAACTATTTACCTTTCTTTCATTATCAGTAATGTTTAAAGAACCAAATTACCTACTGAGAAAAAGAAAAACCTCTCCTAGAATGAATGTCTGTGATAAATAGTAGTTTAGAAATGTATTAGCAATGAAAAAACTAAGTTGTAGTCCATAGTGTTTGGCTGGTGTGAAAACAGCTTTCAACTATTATAAGACCTAGATTGTAGTCCAAGTTCTGCACCAAGTTCTGACAACCTGGTAAATAAACCTGTTTCAGGAAAGGTTGAGCAATAAATAAGACTCCTGCTCTGAAATTCTGTGATTCTATGAAGAAATTACTTACATTCAATGAGCATATTTCTATAATAGCACCCCTCTGTACATAAAGCACCACCTACATTTAATTTTAACATGAGTGATCAGAGAGCTTTCATTCTTCTTACCCTCATGCCTTCAAACCGGGATAAAGCTCTTAGAGGTCTTAAAGCTCTCAGAGTCCGTAGGGATTTGATGGCACCAAGTTCTGAGTAGCCGAGAGCGTTAGCTACCAAGCTAACCAAAGAAACCTAAAGATGAAAAGTATTAATCAGGTCACCGAGAAACCAGCTGTTGACTGAAGGCAGAGGATATGGTGTTTATTTTTCACTACCTGCCAAGTGAAACTTCAGACATAACTTGGAAGTCTTTTTGTGCCACATATTGCTACAATTTATATCTTCAGCCTCATCTCATGTTCTTTTCTTAGTGGTGAAGCCAGAGCCCTTGCTCATTTTCCTCATCATCTGTCAGCTTTCTAGGTAGGTATTTCTCCCACTGAACCCTTTCCAACATGTGCATGTATCAGGATGATTCAGGATTTGATTTCAAGCCATTTCCTTCCATGAATCTGTGCTTAATATCACTGATAGCTTAGAAATGATATTTCTCACTTGAATCTATGCAGTATCCTGTTTATGCATCTTGGAGTTATTTGATCTGTAATAGAATCAGTTGGCTAGATATATTTTCTTCCCTTCTGTAAACTTTAGATAGGTTGAGCTGAAACATTTTCTTATTATGCCTAATGCTGGATGAATATGTTTTAAAGTCAATGTGTATTGGATAAATAAGGAGAAAACTTTATCTGGAAAGTTTTTAATGGGAGAGCATTTCATCAGAACATGTTATACTTTCAAAATAATGAAGAAATTTTTACCCAAATTACTATGATGATCTAGAATATAGTAACTCATTCAGAGTGATAATATATCTTTCTGATATTTATGTGTGCTAAATTTCACTTAAATATTGAAAGATTAAAGAAGACATCATTTAGGGGGTTGTTTTCTTTCAGTATAATGACATTTATTGAGAATTTACTACATGTTAAGTTCTAGGTGTCTCATAAATCTCAAGTAATTACTATTACTTATTTAATTTTAAAGATTTATTTATTTATACATACAGAACTGGGTACAGGCCAGAGGTGCAGGTGTGGTGAGAGGATTCACCAGAGACAGATTGGGGAGCAGACAGGCAGATCGACAAAGTACACTGCTGAGGGGAGCAGCGGGCAGGTCAGGAGAGGTCTGCAGCACCATGTGGGTCACCCCCGGGGCGGAGATTGAACTTGTGCTGAAGTGGCTTTAGCTTCTTAGTGCTGTGCCACCAGGGAGGGCCCCAATTACTATTATTTTTAACTGGTAAAGATGTTAATTCCCTCACCCTCAAAAAAGAATGCAGTGATAATAAGCAGTACTAATGGGGCTTGAGCACAAGTGATCTGACTCCAAACAGTATCTCAAACTTTTGCATCCATTATCAAATTTGTTCCTCATTTGAACCACAATACAGAGAAAATGACTGAGTGACTGTCCTCTCAGTTCTTACAAGGGTTTTACATAACTATTGCTTTCCTTGGTGCAGAAGGAAGATGTAAATTCATTACATCTACTGGATGGATTAAGGGCTTTAGAGCTTATTTCTTATAAAAAGGGCTGTTGAAATGGATCTAAATGGATCTTCTCAATAATCTTGTGAGATAGGATAATAACAGTGATCTGTCTAAGAACACATGGTATAAAGGATATAAATGGTGACTTCAGAACCAGAACTGAGGCTTTAAAGGTAAATGTAGTCACTGACACCTTACTGTTTAATTTAGCATACATCTCACATAATTGAACAGAAAAAGAAATGACTTGAATGTTAAACTTGACTAGTGGCAGGATAATTTATTGAGCTATTCATTTCTGTCTCATGTTCACTGCTATAGAAGACAAGAAAGATTGGAAAGGTCACTAGCAAATACACAGGCTTCGATATTCTGGGATCTTTAACTCAGGAGGCATTAACAGCTTCTTTATGTTTTTTGTTGCTGTACCTGAAGACTTTCTCTGCATCCCATCTAACCAAATACTTAATTAAAATCTGCCACATCATAGAGTGATATGCATATCACTCAAATAGCATATGGACTAACTCAATAATTCTTAGGGACAGTTGGACATTGATTGCTAGGTATATGCTTACTACTTAGATCCAGGATAGACCTACTTCCTACAGAATTGTGGTTCAGGCCAGAGGTGCAGCGGTGGTGAGAGGAATCACCAGAGACAGAGTTAGGGGACAGTACAGGCAGATAGATGAAGAAGTACACTGCCAAGAGGAGCAGCGGGTGGGTCAGGAGAGGTCTGCCACCCATGTGGGTCACCTCCCTGGCAGGGATTGAACTCATGCTAAAGCAGCTGTGACTAGCTTTGCAGTGCTGTGCTTTAACCCATTGTGCCACCAGGGAGGGCCCTGTAGGCACTTTATTAAAAGGAACTCAAGTAGTGGTGGGAACCAGGTACAAAGTTGCCATGAGAATATTGGCAGAATGGTTCTTGGTGAAAATGGGAGGTTGGGGATAATGGAGATGGAATTTATTCGATTAGCTGTGATGGTGAGATTTGCAGAAAGAAAGGAGTGAAGTCTATCCAGGGATTTTGAGAATTAAACGGCAATTCCTAAGCAAAGTCATTCAGAAATGAGGGTCTGTTTTTAAAAAGTTTTGTACATCAACGACTGCCTTTTTGCCTTTGACATCCCTTCTATTTCTGTCGTAAGTTTTTCTGGTTTGTCTTTAACTTTGTACATAATTAGAAAGCTAATAATGCAGCTAGCTTCATCGTTATGGTATTGTTCATGGCTGTGGGAAACTGGAGGTAATCTATATGTTCACCTCTGGGAAATAGTGTATATATTCTGGTGAGTACAGCTCTGTGGCATGTAGAAGCCAAGGCTTACATAGGAATGTCATTAAATGTTCTGAACTTTTTTTTTTTTTAAATGAGGACTTTGAATGAATCAAGTAACCTCTAAATTTATTTCCTTGTCTGGAATTCTAAAATTTTAGTTATTTCTAGATGATTAAAGCAAATAACACTGTATGTTATTTATGCTCAAGAGACAAATCACAGTATCTTTATTAATGAATGCATCATCTTTAATCAAGCACATTTCTGGGGAAATACTTGAATGCTTGGTTGTCTGATTGACAGTAAGCATGACTTCTGTGCAATTATGAAAATATCCTCATGTTTAATCATTTTTCTCTGGAAATATAAAATTTGTTTTTGGCATTTAAGTATTTTGGCAGCTAAGTATTCTGTGCCTCGTTTTCCTCATTTGCATAGTTAGTATTACAATAGATGTCTAACTGAATTAAGATAAAGAGAATTTTTTATGGCTCAGTAAAGATTAGTTTTTATCAATATTATATATATTAAACATGTGTTAGAATTTAAACAAAGGCCAGAATTAGAAACTTAGTTTCTATGTGCTAAAAGTTACTCTTTTTAAAAGGACTATAAAATTTGATATTGTTAAGTTAATTTAACTGTCTTTTAAACTCTGACCAGAAAGGGATTTTTTCTTGTTAATAAACTGATAATGCCAAAAGAGAATTAAATTCTTCCCCCCAAATGAAACAAAGTAAATCATTTGGACTAGAAAAGGCTGCAATATATAATAGAATGTTTACATGGAAATATGTGTGCAGAGGTCAAAAATTGATAATGAAATGACAGTAATTTTAGTTACTCAGTTGTACCAAAGTTGTTCTTAATTTAATCTAATTCTCTCCACCAAAAAAACCAAAACCAAAACAAAACAAAAAAACACCACCAAAAAACTTCCAGTTGAATTCAAGGTGGTGTCTACATATTAGCAAGACATTTCACTACTTTCATTCACTACTAACAAAGGCAACCACATTTGGAGGGAAGTGTGAAACAGGTGGATGAGTCCAACACATTATGTCATTGGTCTGAGCACTGGTGCAAGGTATGGAGTAGAAATAGCAATAGGTAAGAGTAGCTCTGTCACCCATTATCTGTATAACTGGCACATTTCTTTCAGGAGCAAAATAGAGATAATATTTTTAGCAGGATTTCTCTGGTGGCACAGAAGTTAACTTCCCAATCTTATCAAATTATCAGTAACCACTGCAGCATGAGTTCCATCCCTGGCCAGGGGGGTGACCCACATGGCCCAGCAGACCTCTTCGGTCTTACCCACTGCTCCCCTCAGCAGTGTATCTCAGCAGATCCACCTGTTCTGCTCCACTTCCCACTCTGTCTCTGGCGAAACCTCTTACCTCCACACTTCTGGTCTACACCCCAGTGCATAAATTTAAAAAATAATAATTAAAAAAGTAATTTTTATATTGCAGGATTGTTAAAAGGGTTAAGTAAATAATTTCAATTAAAATGGATATTGATAATGAGCTTTGTGAGCTAGGGATTAGGTGCACAGTCATTAGAGCCATAATGCCTGAGTTCAAAATCTACCTTAGCCTCTAATGAGATATGTTAACTTGGTCAGGTAATGTAATCTTTCTTTGGATTGGTTTTCCCAGTTGCAAAATGAGAATAATTATGGTTTCAAACTCAGAGTTTTGAAATTCAAATGAGTTATAATATGTGAAGTGTTTTTTAGCAGCAACTGTATATAGTAAACATTTCACTAAGTCTTATCAGTATTCTTTATTATTGTGTAAGGAAGGCTCTTAATTAGTGCTATTGCTACCTTAAGTAATTAGGAAATGCTGATCATCTTATTGAGCTACTGCTATTACTAACAACAATTTGAGTTTCATTACTGAGGATGCCATTAACTCAGGAATAAGTGTTGAGAACTGAGGCAGGGACTCCTGGGTTCTGGATGTTGTACAGAATTATGGAAACATACTGGAATCAGAAAGTATCCCTGTTCTGCCTTTGTTCCCCTAACTACAACAGTTGGGGATTCTAGTAAGTCTTGGGCAAGTA